TTGTTTTACAGCATATTAATTTGTTTCCCAATATAATGATTGTCTCTTATGTTAATAACAATTAAGGCAGCGTGGTGGGGTGGTTGAGCAAGCGTCCAATAAGCATTGGGACATGGGTTCGAATCCCAGGTCCCCCCCAAAACATTGTTACTTTTATTTTTCAGATATTCACATGCAGCTTTCACAAGGAAGTTCATCATATACCTCACATCCCAGTGCGCCAAGTGGCCTCAAACTCAAATCCCATGGCCTAGATTGAAAGACTAGCATACTCCTAAGTCAACGTGCGCATAGATGATCACAAAGGTCAACGTGGCTGGAGCATTATTGGGCTTCAGAATTCCAGAAACACCTCCTCTTTGGGCCCAGCACCCCCCCTGGGTTTATTTCCTTTTCTCTTTTTATTTTTTACTTAAATTGTTTTATTATTAATAATTATTATTATTTAATTAACCAAATTTATTTTCATAATAAAAATCAGAAAACTAAAATATAATATTTTTTTATTACTAGTTATTGAATTCGCCCTTAATTTATTATTTTTGTAAATAAATATAATTAACTAACTTAGTTTTAATTAGGTTAATTTTAACTTTTTTTTCACAACAAATAAAATCAATGTAGAATTAGGGTTCTTGACAATTTTAATCTTTTTTTTTATTTTATTTCCTTAAAACATAAAAAACTCAAAAAAATATTTCTTTCTTTTAATTAATTAATTAGCTTAGGTTTAATTTAATTAAATGCAAAATAGATAAAACTTCCTTCTTTCTCAAAAAAGGGTCAAAACCCTCAAAACTCTCCGATTCAATTTTTCCCTCGCGCATATGATTTTTGATTCCAATTATTTTATTCCAATTATGTAATTGCTTCGAGGATGTAATAGCCTTAATTAGGATCTTTTTATCGCTTTTATTTAATTTTCCGCAATTTACTTTTTCAAGGGTTTGTTTTTGGCGATGTAAATACCCGACGCCTTGTAATAGCGTAGATTTATTTTCCGCAAACTATTAATTGCTAGATGTATGCTAATTAGGCTATGCATGACAAGATCTCTCTTAAAATAAAATCAATCGTAGCTCACCATAACATGTATAAAGATAACATAACTGAAACCTGATACACTCGCACATGCCACTCCTAGGGTACGCCTCACTTGGTTGCCTCGACGTGGTCATTAAGTATAAGAAGTTTTAGAGGTCGCCCTCTTGTCTAAAGATCAAAGTTGCCTCGAAATGGTTGCCTCGATAAAAAAAATGATCTAAGACATTAGGGTTACCACTAAGGCGTCCTACTATTGCTTTGGTGACCACATATCCCTATAATCGAATTGACCCGAAACTCCAACGACGGTGCTACCTACTTCTCAATAGTGGGATAGTACTGTCTAAAGGACATTTACACAGCTTAATTTCTTTTGAGTAGGTAGAGGTTCTCAAGTACTTGCTCTTTCAAAACAAAAAAATACTTTTCGCACTTACACTTTTAAACAAAAGTTTTTTCAAACAAACACTTCATACACTCTTGAGGACTGATACAAGAGTTAAATCGAAGTTCTCAAACAAAACTTTTTCAAAACCCACAAACACAAGAAAAGCAAAACTTTTTGAAAACATAGTGAGCAAGTACCTAAGAGCCCGTGGATAACCACGGATAGAAAGGGTGCTAACACCTTCCCTTTCTATAATCTACCTCCCGAACCGAGAAACATCTCGAAAAGGAATTTTGCTGTGCTTTTGTCCTTTCCTTGTTGGAGAAAATAAAAGACGGTGGCGACTCTTGCTTACCGCGACATTTCACGAACCAGCATTCCAAACAGTCAGTTCTATTTCCACCGATCACAACCTCCATTTCAAAACACTTTCAAAAGACAAAATGTTTTGTATACGTTCTTATAGAGACGAGAACCATTGCAAAACCTCTTTTCAAAAAACTTTTCGAAACACGATTCACAAACACCTCTTTGAACTATTTTTCGAAACAAAACTTTGTATATGTTCTTATAGAGACGAGAACCATTACAAAGAAACTTTCTAAAATACTGTCAAAACCCACACCACAAGCACACAATCAAACAAAATCAAGTGATCTAAACGAGTAACTAAGAGCCCATGGATAACCATGGATGGAAAGGGTGCTAGCACATTCCCTTTTCATAATCTACCCCCCGAACCCGAGAAAATTCTCGAAAGGTCTTTCCTGTGCTTTTTTTACCTTTCCTTTTGGATAAAAGAAAAGTCAGTGGCGACTCTTGATAACCGCACAAGTGCGAACACAAACGCAAAACCTCAAGTCAGTTCTCCCACCGTATCACACCAGGTTTTTCCATGTTTTCGATTTCTCTTTCTCTATCCTAGCTAACCATACAAGGTACTTCTTGTCCTCTTTCGATGGACCTGATCTAAAAGGTCTCAGAACTTCTGTGACGAAGTCTAGCTTAAAGGAAGGTTTACTTTGTTCTTTACCCTCTTGAGGAGTATTTTCCTGGGGAATTTTTTCGTCTTTTACCCTAGTGTTTTTAGCTGATTTCTTACTAACCCTAGGTTTACTAGCTATGGGTCTAGTCAAGTGGTAAGCGGGAAAAAATCTCTTGAGTTTTAATATATCTGATACATTGAGTATAGGACCCATATATCCTAAGGTATCAGAAGCAAGAGTGAAGGGAATCATTACCTGAGAAGCGCAGATGGAAATTTGTTCATTCCTCAGAGATGGTGTGGGAATAAATTCTTGATTTCCAATCATGATGGGTGTTGTTACTTTGCGTAAAGGGTTGGAAACAACAACAAAATCGCATCTACCCCTCCATCGTAGCACAAGTGAAAAGGGGTTGGCTACATCCAGAATGGGTCGACCATGACTCGAGCAACGTGGACATACACGACCCACTATCAACGCGTGGAACTTGTACACATTTCATAATATCGCACGACGATGATAAAAGCGAAATGCATGTCTAATGGTAACTCGGGCTAAGTATAAACATAGCGGGCAGAGCCATGGATACTGTGAGGAACATATGACTTCACCAGACAGACTCATGAATTCACCGGGGAGAATATCAATCCCCCGTGCAGAATTCATGAATTTCGCGGGGAAGAGACGAATATTGCGAGCTTATTCATAAATGTTACGCACAAATATATGAACGTCCCGAGCAGAACCCCACCCATCGCGAAATTCTATAAATAATCATGAATAAAGATAATCTAAACAACGATTACTACGAAAAACACTTACTTGAATATAGTAGATGGAAGAATTTGCGACGAACTTTGTGGTGGTGACGACGGAGAAAATTAGCAAACAGACTTGAAGATAAAGAGAGTGGAGAGCGCGAAAAAGTGAACAAAAAGATTGAAATATGGAAAATGGACCCTAAGACATATAGAGCTGACGTGGAATGCGAAGCGTCTCATCGAGAAGCCAATCGATCGCTCTTCTCCTTGACGTCTACGTGCTCAGGTAATAATGGCCCATACTCTCTAGGCCATCATTATCGCCTTTCTCCTCAACGTCTACACGATCAGGTAATAATGGCCCCTACTCCCTAGGCCATCATTACGGTCCCAAAGGTCACACCACGTGGCGACAACCTTGCAGCTTTTCTCTCCCTGCGAGTCGAGGAACAGGAACGTTCCCCGTCAAATCTATTACAACTTCTGCTCGAATACTCACGCGTACCGACGAGGATCCCCATCGACACAATAAAAAATCCCCGGTTGAGTTATGCGCTCCTCGTAAAGGCAAAGGTGGACTTAAGTCATAACTCCTTCATCACGAGCAACGACTTGGGGGGGCTCTTGCTCTGGACTGGGCCTGCTCTTGGCCCAAGTCCACATAAGGCCCAATCCAGCCCGACCAGTCGAAGACCATCGGGCAATAGTATCCACTCTTCAAGAGGACGCTGCTTCGCCACATGGGGACGAACCCAAGAAGACGCGGGAAGACGCATCACCGACCAGAGGACCTCGAGCAAGACTGCTCCTCTCGCACGACCTCAGGATAGCGAGGATCCTGCTCGACGGACAAAAGTACTCCCACGAGCATCCTCATCGCAGGGCTGACTAACAACACCTCTGAACTTCACGGAGTCCACTTGACCCCGAAAAACCCGCATCCATATTCTCCTGGTCATGCGAAAGAACCCATCCAGGTAGGGGGCCACATGCTGGTCCCCATTACTCACGTAGAAACCTGAAAGTCTCCACTTTGGGTCTGCTTGCCCAGCCCAATGAGGGAACTTTGACCCAACGCTGAGGGCTATAAATACCCTCTCTTGAGAGAGAGGGTCGGGTATTAAACATTTCTTATTCACTCTTGCCTGCTAGCTCATTCTGAATCTCACTTTGGCATTGGAGTGTCTTGCAGGTATCCCCCCACCTCACTCTCAAATTCTGCTCGACATAAATTGTGACGGTCCATTCTAGTCAGATACGATCAATTTCCAATGACTTTTAAACTTTGAAGATATTTATAACATATTTTCAAGTTCTTATTACATATTCATTCTGTTATTATAAGTAAAAAAAATCTTAAAATTTGATCCCTATTATAAGTAAAAATTATTAATTTTTAAACTAAGCATTAATGCTAGTATTACTAATATATTATTTATTTAATTCAAAAGTATCTAACGTTGTTAGTTAGTTCATCAAATATAACAGAATATTATAATAAAATTTACTTTGATTATACTTTTTTTAAGAGTATTACACTTAGACCAAAAATTGACCACCTCAACAAACGTATGGACAACTGATTCACTTGGCGCTTAATGAACTTTACCTCAAAGTTCAGAAAAAATCAAAGATTCTTAATAGACATAATAATAAGACTAAATTCAGAGCTCTTTATACGCTTAGAATGAATAGCTTGAACTACAATTTGACAATCACTTTCTAAAGTAACATAAAATATTTGTAAAGAAATAGCGTTCTGAACCGCTTCCTTCAAGGTCGTGGCTTCAGGTTCAACGGTAGATAAAAAAGACCAAAATCTCAGGCCACCCCAAAAATGAAACTACTCAAATGATCTCTTACACACCAATCTCTATTTGTTGCACCACGATCACTATTGAAACTTGTGTCTATATTACATTCCAACCATCCTTCCATTGGCGGACACCAAACATCTGGGTGATTAGTGACATTATCGGAACCATTATCTTCTCTAGCTAAGAACCAATCCAACAATCCTGCCAATTGTAATAAGTTTGCAATCCAATTTTCATAACATCTTCTCGAGTCTCATGCCAAACCACATTATTCATACTTCTCCAAATCACCCCAATCATCACAGCAAATATGCCAGCATCTCTACGATCCTCTCTACTACAAACATCAAGAATAAGAGACTTAGCATCATGGAAAGTATGTAAACGCACGTTAATTATACAAGACAAACCTGCTGCCCGCCAACTCTGAGAAAGAAAAAAGCACCCAAAAACACATGTCACTCGTCTTCGTCTTCTAACTCACACCGAGAACATATAGAAAGACATTGGATGTGATGTTGACAAATATTAGATCTTGCCGGTAAACAACCCCTACATATCTGCCATAGTAAGTGTTTAGCTCTTGACGGCGCAATAATATTCCAAAAGATAGTTCGAATAACCCTCTACATTATAACTACGTTTGTCATCTTGGATCTTCCTCCATAACCTGTAACCCGATTTAACACTATACTCACCATTTTGCTCCTCTTGCCAAATCAATCTATTCTCCACCGACAGGACTCTAAGAACTACTTCAGCCCCAGCATGATCAAACATGTGATTCAACTTAAGCACGTCCCATTGTTTAGCATTAGGCAACATAAGGTCTTTAACATGTCCTTTGCCTTCCACAAACTCCGCCACACAAAACTCGAATTATTACCAAGCTTAGATTCAAGAAAAGAAGTTGGAGGGAAATACCTGGCTTTGAAAATCCTGGAAACAAGAGAGTGAGGTTTTGACAATATATTCCAACCTTGTAATTATGACCGAATGGAATAATGATCTAAAATAAATTTTAGTGTTAAACAAGATTTTGAAATTTTCTTATGTTATTTATAGCTCAACTCAAATCTTGTGAGTTAATCGTTTAATCTATAACATAAATCTTTCAAGTTCACTTGCACTTCAACCTTGATTCACTTCATGTCACAAGAAAAAATTCTGAGTATCATTAGGTGTAAAGAAACCTCCAATTTTAACTCTTTTTTCAACTTTTTTATTTATTCAGAACTAGCAATTCACTTCTCTACAACTTCCAGAAGCCAGGCAAAGAAATCAAGTTATGAGCTTGCGCTTTCTAATCATTTCTGATTTTTGTTGCATCACAGCTCGTGCTAAACCTTGTTTCCCTTCTCTATTCAGCCCATAAAAAACTGTTCGAAAGTTAATAGTACTAGGAACAATCCCACTTTCCAACATATAAGAAATAAGTCTCATTGCTTCTTCAGATCTTCCAACTTTGCATAGACAAGAAAGAAACATAGAATATGTTTTAAAATCGGGAAATGGTCCTTTAAATTTCATTCGGTAGAACACATTCCATGCATCATCGTACCTCCCCACGTTCATGTATCCGCGTATAAGTGCAGAATATGTAACAACGTTTGCTTCATAACCTGATTCTTGCATTTCCTGATAAATCTCAGTGGCTTTTTCAACCTGTTTCTCTTTAAAGAAATGCACTATTAATGATGTGTAAACATGGATAGTAGGTTTTATTCCCTCTTGTTTCATTGCATTCACCTTAGTTAATGCTTCTTCTAATTTACCCTTTTGTAATAAACCATGTATTACACTTCCAGAAGTTAGCTTTTCTACACTAGATTTCTCTGCTCCAACCTCTTCGACTAATTTCAATGCTTCTTCTACTTTTCCAGCTCTACAAAGAGCCCTTATGAACAAAGAGTAGCTAAGGGGAACCGTGTAGCCGGATTTCTGAAGTGAATCTATGCATTTCCTAGCCTCTGAGATCCTACCCGTTTCACATAAACAACCAAGATAGGTTTCAGTCAATTCTTTGTCGGGGACATGTCCTGAACTAATCATCTCATTATATATTTTGAGAGCATCATCGATTTTCCTTCCTTTCTTCCCACATAAGGCGATGATCAAAAACTTGTATGTACTCCTACTTGGACTATAACCATCAGCTTTCATCTCGTTGAAACAATTCATGGCCATCTCTGTTAGTCCTGTTCGGCCGTAGAGCAATATCATGATTGTCCATGTTTCTGGTGTTATTGGATAATTGTTTCTTCTCATTTCATAAAATAGGCTTCGCATGTGCTTGAAATCTTTCCCACACCCTGCGATTTTGATTGCAATGTTGTATGATTCTATGGTGTGTCTGTAACCGGGTTGCTTTCCCACCCACGAAAAAAAGTTTAGCACGGTGTAACCATGCATTCTGCATATTTGCAATGTATCCGTAACAAATTCTGGGGTGAACTCAATGGTGCTTTTCTCCAATTGTTCTTGGATTGAAGACCAATGTAGAGAGGATGAAAGTATCTTACAGACATCACGGACATCTTGCTCACTGTACGTCTTAGGAATTGGATGTAGTGATGAGCAATCTACATTCTTATCTAACTTTGATTGGCCAACTTCTGTATCTTCTCCCACTTCGTTTATCAACGACGCTTGTTTTTCAGACTCGTTGAAATTTTCGGGAACAAGTTTAGATGCTGAATGCATCTGTTGCACTTTCTCTTTTAAAGCAAGCTCCCCTTTGTTCTCCATGTAAGTTATAACCCAATGAAATACTTCATATTTGATTACAATCTTCGAAGCCTGCATTTCATACAATACTTTGATAATGTCATCGGTCCTTGAAGCCTTACAAAGCTCCTTAACAAATACCGAATATGATTTCCATGTAGGCTTGATGCCTTGACACTCCATACTCTTGAAAATTTTCCATGCTTCGGATATACGATTTTGTGAAACATGACCGGCAACCATGGCTGTTATAGCTACGATATCTGGTTTAATTCCTTTTCCCAGCATCTCACCATATAGCATACAAGCTTCTGCATACCTGCTCAACCTAAAGAGATGCTGTATCAGTTCTGTATATGTGGAAACCGTCAGCACATAACCAGATTCATTCATGCTTTGAAACACATCAAGTGCCATGCGAATATCATTTCTCCGTAAATACCCGTTTATTATAATTCTGTGAACGTTCCCATCAACAATGTCCTTTCTCTTCATAATTTCAACAATCTCTAAGGCATCTGAAATCCTGCCTTCCTTACACAGCCCTCTCACCAAAGTCTCAAAATATCCAGGTTCAAGAACTACATCTTTATATTTGAGGTCACGAATCAATTCCAAAGCCTCTTTAATCCTCCCAGAAATACAAAAGCTCTTAAGCATACATCCAAGAACACTGCTCTCCGGCATCAGACTCAACCGCGTCATGTCATTTCCAAGCAAACTAACAGCTGCAACATCTCCTGATTTTGCCATACAGTTCATGAGCATCTTGTACAACCTTACATCATCAAGTACAATATCCTTCCGGATCATGTCATTATAAAACTCCATAGCAATATCACCCTTCCCCGAACTGCAAAGCATACGAATGACCGTTTTATACGAAACAGCATCAGGTTCACAGCCACACTTTTGCATATTTTCAAAAGCCAACAACGCTTCACTTATTTTCTTAACCTTCCCATACTGAGATACAAGAATAGTCCACGTATTAACATCCTTCTGAACTCCACATTCATCCATTTCCTCCACCAACTTCTTCACCAACCCAAACTCCTTAGCTTCTCCAGCAAGGCACAACATGGTATTATAAGTCCTCGTTGTGTGACTAAACCCATCCTTAACCTTCAACCAATCAAAAACCCTCAAACCCAAACGCGGCATTTTGAAGCACCTTTTCAACACTCTATCAAAAACCTCAACATTCAATTCACAATAACCCATATTCTCTAACCTCTCTTCCAAAGAAACAAAACCATGTTCTCCTCTAATTATTTCCATAATCTCACCCACCATGCGGACCATATCTTCTTCTCCCATTTTACTCAACTGGGTATCTTCCAAATCAGGAAAGTTTTCGTCTTTATCAACTCCCGCACTCTCTTCGGCATTTTCACAAACATCTTCTGTGCAATCATGTTTTTCTTTAAAACCAACCTGGGCGTATGGAGTTTCGAGTGGAAACAAAAACCCAGATGGGGAATGGTCTGGGAACACAGTATCAGACCCTAGAATCTCAGTAATCTCGTTGAAAAGTGAACGTGAGGCGTCAATGTCTGAGATGGAAAGTTGTTGTTGTGTTGTTTTGTGAGGGTGTGAAGGTTTTGATGACTTGTTGGAGGTGGAAAGATGAAGAACATGACGAGAGTGTGGAAGGAAGTGGGAATCGAAGATTCGGAGTTTGGTTTTCAATGCTCTCATGACTTCTTGCAAGTTTGAAAATGTAATGGTGTGGTACAAATGTTTGGGCTATGGGAAGATGAAAAGACGGAGTAGTTGTAACGGTAATAAAATATGTTTTTAAAGTTTTGCATGGCAAAATAAACATCAAGCACCTGTGGCCTAATGGATAAGGCGTTTGACTTCTAATCAAACGATTGTGGGTTCGAGTCCCATCAGGTGTGTTTTTTTAAATGACTTTTGTGGATGAGTTATTTTACTTGAAACCTATGAATGAACTATTTTCTCTTTTCTATAGATTTAAAAAGATTAATTTGACAATGCAACAAAAAAAATGACATTGAGTAACTTAATTTTTTTTATTTTTTATAATAGTAGAAATTTTTTCAAACTCGTTTTTTATAAACTAAAAGATTAATTTGACATTTAGTAATAAAAATATACATTGTTAAAGATTAAAATGTATTTAAAATATATGATTTTTCTAAAAAATATATTTTATAAATGACTTGAAGAAAAATTATTTAAAGTAGTTTAAAATTTCAAGAGATTATTTAAAACTTTGATATAAAAAAAGTCTTAAACCTAAAATAAATTTTAGGAAAAACTATTTAAACAAGTTCTTCATTTGAACATTTAAAAACAAATTCTTTTTTAATAAAAACATATAATACTATTATTCTTTTTTTTTTAAAGTTGAAATAAACGACCTCATATATATTACGTGAAACCCGCAAGTGATTTTTTTTATGTTAACGTTCTGATTTTCAAGGGAATGAAGCTCTAATAATCTTGATTTCAAATAAACAGTTCTACTCAATCAATAATCTCACTTGCAAATTTAAACACAATTTCATAAGTGTAGTGAGTTTCTAAGTATTTGTTCTATTTGCACTAAAGTTATTAGACAACCTATACTCTAATAAGTGAGAGTACAACTTATTTATAGACTATTAACATATGTATCTAATGTATGATGTTTAATCTATTAATTGACATGCATAGCTAATACATGAGAACATACATTCTGCATGCTGCAATATACATGAA